AGACTGGCTCAACAGCCTTGGAATAGTTAGAAAATCTCCAGTTAAACCAAGGATTTGCACTTATTCCAACTGTAACCCACACACCTCCTGGGTGTGGTGTTCTGGCCCATCTAGTGGCACTGAGGCCACTTAGAGAAAGATTAACGAGTCTGCTAAAGTCTTAGCTAAGAGCCATGTGGCTTTTAGCTCATGCAGTAGAGGCTCATGCATTTAACTCCAGAGGTCCCAGGTTCGATCCTGCCTGTCGACGACTGGGGTCTGTCAGTGTTACACAATCACTGCCCATTATCAGTTACTGAGGTCATTTATTTACCCATGGCAGAAGTGTTCACTGTTTGATGTACAGAATGGGTTCTGCCATATGATATTGTGTTGGATGGGCCATCCAGACGCCAAACAACCTTCGCTAAACAGCAGCCAGGTGGAAGCAACTCGCCCACCAACAGCGACAACACAAACAAGAAATGGGAGATGGGTCTGAAGACCAGAACTTTTGAATAGAGCTGTGCAAAATATTTTCAGTGAATAGTAAATTCTCCCCAATATGCTTTTTTGGGACCACTGAAAGTATTCACAAATGTGGTTGAAATTCATTGGATAGCTTCAGCCAAAAAAGATAAGAAAAGAAAAAGAAAAAAGAATTGTGAGAACTAATCAGCTGCAATGCTAAGGTGATATGAGCCAGGCACCTGTAACCTCTGGCCCCAGCTAGTAATGAAACTCTTCTGGAAAAGACAGAACAATAACAAAATAGTTGTTAAAAGTAAAGGTGTAGCAACGTGCATGGAACTTGGAGAGAGGGCAACGGGTTGCAGGAGTGCAGAGTTTGGAGTCATTCTACGTGCCTGTGGCTAGATCACAGAGCTGCTCCTACTGCAGTTTAACAAACAGCTGCTTTAAAAAAGTGCCAGTAGATTTAACTCAAGCCATGTCCACACTAAGGGTGCTACGGACACTTCCTACGACAATGCAAAGTTTTTTTTATTGATGTAGGTAACCCACCGCCCCGAGCAGTGGAAGCTTGGTTGACCTTGCCATGTCTGCATTGGGGGTTCGGTTGGCTTAACTACAGCACTCGGGGGTGGGAATTTTTCACACACCAGAATGACGTAGCTAGGTTGATCTAAATTTTATGTGTAGACCCGGCTTGAGGGTAGAGTCTCCTCTTGCTATTATCCAGCACGCATCATGTGAAACAGAAACAAATGTTTTTCTTAATGAAATTTTTGTGCGTGGTCTCCATTAGTGTTTATGATCATTTGTGTTTACTCAAATTAATTTGCAACCAATTAACTCCCATTACAACAAGAACAAAACAGCTGCACAGGGCCCTAGGGTTGAACCCAGTCAGTTAGTACATTTTAAAAGGTGTAGAACTGGATCTACACAAAGTGGCAAATGGTGTTTCTAATGAGGTTTGCTAACTTTAGGTAGCTACCTTAGTTCGAACATACACATTTTTCTAAATCTAGACAAGGGTTAGGGCACAGTTCCCCTCCTGCTTTGCCCTCATTCTGCTGGGAGACAGTAATTTATGGCTGGCCTCTACCAACAGCAAATTACCAGAACCCAATAGCTCAGCTGTGCTGGCTGACATGTTCAGTGTGAGAGAGAACAGAGCCATGTCTCCAACCATTCCCCTCCCACCAGCTTTCATGGGCCAAATGTCTTTCCACCCCTGAGTGAGTGGGAAGGCCAGGTGAAACTCTAGACCTTTATTTCCTCTTCTCAGTTTCTCTTTTTGTACCAGTCAGTGCAAATCACCTGTAGCCAGATTTTGCCACCTTGTTCAT